TTGTGTGTGCAATTGCCACCTGCATATTAGCACCCTGATGAAACGTATTGAGATGATTATTTCCATATATGGAGTAATACATACAATTCTACAATTATGAGTAGTGCCATAGCACATTATAATTTATCTATTAAATTATGGCGAAGAACATTATAAATAGTTATTGGTCCTCTTATAACATGTCTCTGGTATTATAGGCAAGAAATATGAAATCATAGTTTATAAAAACATCCCTTCAAATTAGAAGGGAAATTTTATTCTGCTAACTTTTAAAGTTTTATAATTTACTAAATCTTATACTCTGATGGATTGAAATAAATTTTAAAATATGTTCTACATAAAGGAGGGAGGAGACAAAGTAACATCATTATCAAGAAGAAATTGAGGAGGACGTGTGACAGAAGCCTTGGTAAGCTTGAGACTGAAAACGATTATTCAAGTCAACCATCTCAAAGTTCTTATATGATGATGGTAAACATCATTCTTTGAAAGTAAATGTTATGAAAAATAAATGTGAAGGAGTTGAGGTAAATTCTTAGATAGCCTTTATAAAGATTATTCTATATGGGAAAAGAAAAAAATTCTAAGAAGACAAAAAGGACAACAGATTATAGTAAAATAACAAGTCGGGAAAACGAGAGCTGTGGAATCATGCAGAAAGTCAGCCTCCAAGGTAGACTATAAACACTTAAATGAATACAGATATCCTGACATCTTCAAGTAAGAAAAATGCAAAAGTCAAAGCAAAGACTAGAAGCAAAGAAATAAATCCAGGACGCAGAGCAGTGAAAACAGATGAGAGAATAAGAGAAGTAAAGATATTTCCACTGAATTTTGATAAACAAGAAGAAGCAGAGATTGTAGGGTAAAGGCAGATGGAGAAAGGGATTTGGTTTGAGTTTAGCTACAGGAAAAAACTTAGCTGAGGAGTCAAAAAGGATTCCAAGGCTTCGACATGTTTCAGACAGTGATTATTTTCATTAAAAGTCCCTTAAACTTATTTGGTCTCAGATTATGATCGGAGATGACCTGGCTTTTAATCCAATCAGTTTTAAACAGAAGAAAGATCTTAGATCTGGTGCTATTTATGATGATGTGTTAAGAAATCTGGAAATATGCTCTTATCTGGAGGTGAAGAAAAAGACTAATAACTTGTATTTCTTCAATACTAAAAAATGACTGGCTTCAGTACTAAAAAAAGAATAACTAGCTAAAAGAATCTGACCTAACATTTGAGCCAAATGATATAAGATTTTTATAACCTATTATAAAACTTATTTTATGTACTGCCACAATTTGTGTGAAGGTTCTGTTTTTCTTTTTCTTCATATGAAACCAGTTCTAAAAATAGTCAAGTCTAAAAATAAGGCAAAACCCACAGATTAAGTGTAGCTTTATACATGTGCAAATAACAGGGAAATCTTCACATCTTCTAGGAAAACAGATGTTGGGTTATTTATTCCTACTAAATTCTCTATTCATGTCAAATATGGACTATATTATTAAAAAACCCAAATCCATTCTTTAATTCTATCAAAATATAAAGTAGTTCCTCTATATAAAGTAGTCCCAGAGGGATCAGTGAACTCTACTAATAAATATGAAAGTGTGAGCAAAAAGAGTCTTATGTTTAATCTTAGGAGCTTGGTTCCTATCACGAAAACCAACTGATTAACAGTTTACAAAACCTGCAAATGTCAGTACAGTGCCTGAGAGATGCTTTGATCCAGTTCATAGAAAAAAGTCATGTGGAGAGAGAAAGAAACAAACTCACCTACAAAACATGCTACCATTATTATATTTCCCTATACCTTTATGAGTCCATACTTCCAGAAATCACTTTCCTCCTCGATATTTCTCTAAAGACTGATGAGCAGAAAAGAAAAATTACAAAAGGGGTTTTCAGAATATGTGATTAGTTTGTGTACCTCTGTACCAGCTTCCCTGCTCCTTGCAAGACATCTACAAGGCAGACAGTGTAGATGTGGAGGATGGGCAAATATTCTCATGGGAAACTCGAGTGCCTTTCAATCATCGTTACCCATGCTTTTCAGATAGAGGATTAATAAGATGTGGCTAAATGACCTTATTCAGTGGCAGAAACTAGAAGAGACTGACTTCATTATCTCAGAAGAGACCAAGACAGATGATAGCCGGCCACTAACTCTCACGGTAGCATCTTCTACCTTCGTTTATTCATTGATCAACAAACTGAACAAAAAAGTAACAAAACAAAAGCTAATATGTTCATGAGCTAATTGTCACTCTCCAAAAATATATAAGAAAATCTGTTCTCAGCCTTTAACACTAATTCTTTCATGTATAAAGATAACATTCTCGATGGCAGGATACTGTGGGTAGTTTTCCAGTGGAGTTGAGAGATCTCAATTGATGGATGCATACATACTCTCTTACTTGGTCATTCTTTTAATGGATAGCAGATTGAAGTAACCATAATTTTCATAGCTGAAGCATATGATCTTAGGATAATTTACCACTACAGTAGAAAAATCACTGTAAACTGACTGTAGAAATCCGATACAGAAAGTGTTATCTGAAAAAATGATAAGGTATAAATTATTTCCAGCTGTCATTAGGATGAGAGTTTTTATTTTAATGTGGAGAAAATAATCGGTACACAATTTTACAAAATACTAATAATAAATTGGGATGGAGTCAAAGAAAAAATAGATATTATCCTCAAAAGGTGTTCTCCATATGATTTCAAAGCAATGGCATCTGGGGAGGTTAATTATGTTCATATTTATCCTTGACTTGTAAATGTAATATAATATATTTATAATAAAATTTCACCTGTTTTACAGATATATCGATGATTTGGGTTTTGCCCATAATTTGGCAGAAAAGTATTTTCATTGGAAATTGCAAAGTTGATGGTTAACAGGTTGGTAAGATGATAGAATGCCATTCTCAGAACACTTCTGACATGGGCTGTGACAGATGACCCAGCACACTGAGTTAACCATCTGTCTTCTGATCACCGATGAAGACACCAAGAGGGGTGAATCTGTAAGACGGAGGCTATTCTTCATGGCATCGTCCACAAACTAAGTTAAAAATATTACCTCTGTCCAGTTTCTTATTCCCTTTAAAAAATCCAATAAACTAGAATCAATATATAAAAACTAATTTCAATAATTATTTTCAGTGGAATCCAAGACTTGCTGCACAATGTAGAAATTTATTTTCTTTTCCTATATGTTTATCTCTCAAGACTCAGGGTGTTACTACTAGCTTAAGTATCTTTACTTTAATTCATATTCTTCATGATTTCATAATCTTGGATCGTATGCTTCTTCACAGATTTCATCTTTTAAATCATAGAGTATTTCTTAGTAAATATATGAACCTTTTAAGTCCTCCAATCAGTTAACTATCTAATTAGCTTTACCTCCCTTTTTACCTACCTACCTTTACTTGCCTTTCTTGAAATATGACAATGAAAACTCTACACAATGGTAGGAGTACAGAGCCACCATAGTTATGTTCACAGGCAGGATGTTTCCTCTTTTGTTTCTAAAATCCTTTGCAATGCAACTCAAATTCCTACATGATAACCTGGCACTCTGAATGAGTTACACTACACAGAGGAAAGAAAAATAGTAATTTTAGGGAGAATTCTCACATCTCTTATAATACCTTCTTCTGCTTATAGCCCCAAAGTTACCAGTACTGTAATTCTTGTGATTAGAATTCCTTCTAAATTCTGGCCAGTTCAACCAACAGGCAGAAAATACTTTGAAGCAGCATGAAAGGAATCTTCTCAACAGAATTTGAAATATGAACTGTTAACAAAATTTTCTACGATCTAAGGTCACCACAAGTAGCTGGTTTAAATGCCATTTTTCAAAAACAAGAACATTTTTAATATAAATATCTTTAGTGTCAGTAAAAATAAAAAGTTTAAATAAACTAAAAACAAAAAATATATTCTAAAATTTAATAAACTATCACATTCACTTCCAAACTGTTCAAAAAATAAAAAGAGAGACTGTTATAAAAAGATACCATAACTACCCAAAGACTAACATATAGAATCAGTAAATTAGCAGGATAAAAATGCCTTAAAATACCACTATAAAAAAAATTCATGACGAAAAAAAATCTCACTTTGTAAAAACATCAGCTATATGTTTGCTTTTTTATCATGATATATACAACACGTACATCCACCAAAAGAATCTACTCAAAAAAACTTAGGAATAAATTTAACCAAAGAAACGAAAGACTTGCATACTGAAAACACAAATCATTGCTGAAAGACATCAAAGAAGACATAAGTGGAAAGACATCCACATTCACAGCTCGGAAGACTTAATATTAAGATGACAATACTACCCGAAACGATCTATAGATTCAGTTCAATCTCTATCGAAACCTCAACGGCATTTTTTTTTCATAAGTAGAAAAACATATCCTAAAATTTATGTAAGATCTCAAGGATCCCTGAATAGCAAAACAATCCTGGAAAAGGAAACAAGATGGGAGGTCTCACTCTTCCCGATATCACAACTTACTAAGAGCGATGGGCAATCAAAACCAGAGACATACAGACCAATGGAACAGAACAGAGAGCCGAGAAATAAACCCTCACGTATATGGTCAATTGATTTTCGGCAAGGATGCCAAGACCATCCCAGCAAATGGTGCTGGGAAAACTGGATGTCCACGTATGAAAAGTGAATTTGGATCTTTATTTCACACTATATACAAGATCTATAAATAGATCAGAGATCTAAATGCAAGACCTAAAACTGTAAAACTCTTCGAAGAAAACATAGAGTAACATTCGCGACACTGAACTTGGCAATTATTTCCTGAATATACCACCAAAAAATATAGACAACAACAAAAAGATAAACTAGACTTTCATCAAAATTAAAACCTTTGTGTTATTTCAGTTATTCAGGTCATAAGTTGAGGGAAAATGTCTATAATGTATATGTTTATAGTTCAAGTGCTAAAAATGAGCATTGTACCTGATAGAGCATGATAGGTTCTATGTTGTATCCTAAGGTGTCAGCAAAAGTCTTAGCGATGACTGTTTTTCCACAACCCTGCAAATGGAAACACACAATCATTTAAGGGATAAGTTAAAACAACTGAAAGTTGGGAAACAGAAGTCCAAAGTGAAGCTGCCGTTCTTACTTTTCCTCCGATTAAACATATGTCCTTAACCATGTGAGACTGCATCATTTCAGCCAGTAGTTGCTTATGGCTTAAAGTTTGTACAAAACGTTCCGATGTGCAAGGTTGACTGAGTGTCCTGTTCCCAGCTGGCACCTGTAATTAAATATAACATACATACGGTTTTTTTTCCCTAAAATATTAGTAATTGAAAGCCATAACTGCCATTTAAAGCCATTACGAATTCCTTGCTCAATTCAATTCTATATTGTTTTCGTATTTCGAGAAAGCAATAGAATTTTCTCATTCACAGATCTGATGACCATCAAACCTCCAAATTGATCATCCCTCTACATGATAGCCCCATGCTGTCAGACATCTGCATAAGCATCATGCCATTTTCACGCTATTTATAACTTATAATAATGATGTCACTATTGGAGAATGAAGGTTCCGTCTAAATTCCAGTTATAAGTACAGAATTTAAAAGCAGTCCACCGAGACTCTCCAGAGTCACTGCTGATTTTTAAAGTCCACGTCCATAAATCCTTTTCCATTCTTCTTTTAGTTTACCTCTCAGAAGCATCTATTCTTAAAATCTCTCCTCCCTTCCTTCGTACCGACTTCTTTTACTTCCTGTCTCCTCATAAGATTTCGTGTGCTCCTCCTGACTCCTGGTGTTACTCTTCCACTGTGACCTGCAGCCACTCCAGGGCAGTGGTTACCTATCTGGCTGAGTCCCAGCCCATTGGTGTGGTGAGACAATTCATCTCGGGGAGGTAGATGAGTATAGCGAAAAATAATCCTATCTAGACATCTCAGCTGTGACATGTCCTAGCTAGTGACCACAGGTGAATTGACTACCCTCTTTACATTTGTTTTCTAATCGACAAAGCAGAGATAATAAAACTTACTTCCAGGGTTGTTGGGGGGTTTAGGCATAATATATGCAAAGAAACAAATACAGTGACCAGTACCCAGCAGCACTAGCAAATCTTAATACAGAGCCTGGCCCACAGCAGACACAACCAATGTTCCGTTGCATGAATAAATAAATACAGTAACATAAATAAATATTACTGATATCATATTAAAACACACCAAAAAGTCTATAATTAAAATTTGGTCTGTCACATCATGAGAAAGCAAGGCTTTTCTTTCCTACATTCACTTATAATGCATTTAAGTCAGGATTCCACAAGCTGTGCTCCCTAATGGACTCTCTGGTAGCCTCTCAGAAAGGGCTGGGGGAAAGGGGGTGGGGCAGGCAGATGGGGCTCCGCAGGCCAATCCCGCCCGCCCCCCTCTAAAAACTCTTCAGCTAGAGCAACTCCTCTTTCAACTGTTCCGTGTCACTAAGACAGATTTTATTTGAAAAGAGTATTCCCTGGCTGCTAAAACATGTTTGAAAACACTATTTCTTACCAAGGACTTAGAATACAAAATGCTTTCATTAATCAACGCTCGATTTGATTTTCTCAGAGGTCAACTCCGGGTTTTTGATAAAAGGCTATGCTTATGTTTCTCCTGAATTTTTTCAGTTTAAAACCTACATGACTCTGGATACAGATAAATATACATACAGATATATAGACGTGATGCTACAGAGCCAAAGAAGACTTATAAGGGGATCGTGCACAAGTCATAAAAAATGGGCAGGACAAGGCACATCTTAGGACGTATGAACCTGGACTCATTACCTTGATGGTCACCTCTCTGTCTGCAATCCGGACAGTCACGGAAGCTTGGGCCACATGGTTTTCGGTCATCCTCTCGACTCTCACAATCTCTTCAGGAAGCACAGAGCTTCCTGAATCTTGGAGTTCAAAGCGCTATAAAATTATAAGAAAATCACGTCATTTACTTTTTATTTTAGTATTAAATGTTAGATATCTATAAGATTTCATCTTAATTAGAACTGGAACTCACTCTATGATATAAAAGTAGAGGTAAAAAAAAATTAATGAGCATTTTTTTCCTATTTTTACGAATACCAGTCTATCTACACCAATTACTAAAGGTGATATGAAAATAGTCCCTAAAGTTTACTAAATGACAAGAATCACTGAATTCCTGAGCTGGTAAAAGTTCACACCTATATTTCTTGAGAATAAAAAGTTCCAATTGATGAGATTCTTGAAAAGATACTAAAGTAAAATAAGACTTATAATACGTTGCCTGAAATTCATAAAACCAGAACTTCCTGGACAGCATTCTGCCGGCTGTGAGTGTGATTAGCTTAACTGATTACAATAAATTATAACAATCAATCTTCCACAGTGTCTGGCACAGTGCCTTGCACAGTCTAGGTTCTCAATATTTGTCAGACTGGATTTAAAAGGCCAAGTCCATTGATTCCAGGTGGGCCAATTATCAATGTCCTAACACTGGTTACATCCCCTCACGCCAACTCCTTATGTGAAAAAAGACACAAAGAAAACACAAACAAGTATATGAAAAATGAAAATACTGATTGAAAATTAATTAAGTCCTTTGGCCTACGATAAGCATCACATTTAATATGAAAAGCTTAAGTCATTTTTAGTATTCAACAGGCATAAATAACTCCACACAAATCCAACCACAGAACATTATCACCATAGTGAAAGAATTGAACCTCAGTGAAGGAACAGATCACTCCCTTTTCAACAAAATGATACAATCCCAGAAAGTAGATTTTTGAAAAGAAAATTACCTTCGACCTCAACATTCTAACTTAACAGCCCAGTTCGAGTCTTCGTTTTGGTGTCGTAAGTACTCAAGATAGTCACTCACTCTTTTCCCCACACCGAAAATAAAAAATGTCTATTTGTGATACTATAAAAAATATTTTATAAGTAACACATTTTATACATGCAAATTTTCATAGTATCACATAATTTAGTAGGAACTGCTTCCATGTTATAGACAAATAGCAATTATTGACACTTTAATTTCATCTGGAAAAAAAGCTACACTGTATTTTAAGGGAGGTTCAATACAAAAAGAATAAGATCTTAGCCAAGTGATTAAATTCATTAGAATTTAGAAACCAGAGCCATTAAATCCTAAAAAAAAAAAAAACCAATAGAAGTGCTTAAAGGTATGTTTTTACCACAGTATAATAATGTCAGTCTGACTTGATATAGAATTGACGTCAGGACCTATATTCCAGAAATGGACACTAATGCCTTGAACCACTTGCTATACTGGTTATGTCCTTATAAATAATTCAAGCTAAAATATTTCAGCAGAATAAAAATAGTAGACTAAAAAACATTAAGGTAGTAAAAGAACTCAAGGTGAATTAGCATTGTCGGCACAGGAAATTCAGAGGACTGCTAATCAAAAAAGTAATTGAGGAGTAAAGTAGATACGTAATTCCTATAGGCTACATGTTAGCAAGAAGTAGAAAACCAAGTGTATGTACCTTATCGTTTTATATTAATGAATATTTCCTATGAATTCTCGAATTTCAATCAAACAACCTACTACTAACGGATTTTTGTCATACTTTCTTTGGGATGACATTACTGGAACTGTGAAGTATAATTAAATAGAAGGAACGTGAACCACCCAGGTGTTGGTCTGCAAGGCCGACGTGTCCACCCTCACGATTCCCAATCCTGTCCCACCACGTATTCATTCTCTTCACACCTTTTCTCTAGGTTTTTGAGCTCTAGGGGAGAAATTCTCCGTATCCTGTTGTCTCGTTGCTGAACAAATACGTAGCCACTGGTCTCTGCTGGGCCTTTCAGCAACTAATACAGACCAAGACTACTGTCCTTAGGAGTCACTCTGAGCCCGTTCGCCCCGTCTCAGCATGTGATTTAGCGGCCTCCAGGGGCATACACCTTCACACTTCAAAAGAACGTAAACCCCATTAGGGCACTATCCAAACGTCCAGAGCATAGAATCGCATGTATAGATCATAGTCGATGGGTCAAAAAAGATTTGTTAAATAAATAAACCAATGAAATTTTTTTCCTTCATCCTCAATGGAATCACCTATGTTTTCATCAAATCCTCACTTCTTCCCACTGTCCCAGTAGAAAGGACTTCGCTTTACTCATGCGTGGATGGAAAGCCAGCGGAAGTCTACTTGCTTCATCTCGGTTTATGAGAACGCCATCGTTCCCCTTGCAGGGCACAAAGTATGTTCTTCCACCATTCCAAACCGAGACATGATGGTGCTCTGCAAAGGTCTTTTTCTGCCTCCCCCAGACCGTGATTTCCATAAATGTTTTCCACGTTATCCATAGATTTCATCTTTTCTTCCCATTGTTTGTCTCCCCCACTTCAAGAAACAAACAGAAAGCCATTTCTTGATTCTACATCATCCTCGATCGACCCACCATCCGTTTGTTCCCAGTCATCATCACACTTACTTCACGAGTAGTACACAATCACTGTTTCAACTTCCTTGTCTCCGATTTACTATTTGGCTCATTGACTTCTGGTTTCCTAGCATTGCTCCTGGTAAGTCCACGGATAATGTCCTATTTGCCAAGTCACATAAATTAGTCTTCCTCGTTTTCCAGTTCCCTCCTTCTCAGTCTCTTTTGCAGGTCCTTCTTCATCTTCCCGACCAGTACACATTAGGGAACTTCTGGAGTGAATCTTTTTATTGTCTAATCTACGTTCACCCAGTTTCAGGCTACAAATCATCGATACAGTCATGACTCTAGATTTTCTCCCTGTTCAGACTTCTATCCTAAACTCCTGACTTGTATATGCAACTGTTGTCTTGCCATTTCCATTTTGATACCTAATAGGTATTTTAATCTAAATGTGTGCAAAACTCAAGTCTTGATCTTCCATGTTCTGTCTCCAACTTCATCATCCTGGGTGCTCCGTCCAGAAAGCCTGATGTCATCCTTGACTCTGTCTCAAACCTACTTCCAACCCTTCAGCAGATCATCCTGATTCTACCTTCGGAATAAATGCAACTTCCTACCAAGCTCAAGCTTGTCGAAGCCACTACTACCTCGCAACTAGGTTACTACGGCAACCCGATGGCTGTTTGCCCCTGCTTTCATCTCACTGTCCAGAGTCTGCCCACGGCTCGGTGACCAGAGTGAGCCTGTTAAAACGTCCAGTCACAGAAGGCATTCCTCTGCTCAAAACCTTCTAACGCCCTTCCATCTTATTCAGATTGAAGGCGGAAGCCCTTTTGGTGGCCTGTAAAGGTGACTTCGCCTCCTTTACCTTCTTACGTCGCCTCCTACTCACCTCTTCTTCACTGGCTCTGTCCCCTCACAGGACACCTCGGGTGTGCTCCTGCCTGAGGGCCTCTGCCTCACCTGCTTTCCTCCACAGCACTTGCTCCTTCTCCTTCAGGTCTTCAATGTCATCTTCCTGGTGAGGGCGTCCATTCCTCAGTTGGCATACTACATACTTGACTTATTTACTCGCTTACTTTATTGATTGATTAACTGTTATCCTTCTCTAAAATATAAGTTTGGTGAAAGGAGAGATTTCTCTCCATTTTGATTACTCCTGCATCTCCAATATAATAGTGTCTAGCTAATTGACTGGATGGAAGAACAGATGAAATGAAAATCCTTTTCTGAATGAATAATCGGAAAGACTTCATTCAATGAGACATCTCTGCGACACTTGAAACTTGCCGTCCCTCTCCTCTTGAAAGTCTCTCTCTGTGCTCATAAGCATTTTCGCTGTTCGACTTCCTTCTCTCTGACTGCTCTCCCTCTGCCTGACTCAAAGTCTCCTTTCTCCTTGCCCACTACCCAACCCTTAACTGCTAGTGCTTCAGGCTTCCGGCTTCGGGGACTGCTGCTTCTCACTGTGCATGCTCCCCCCGGGTCCTTTCATCCATCACCATGAATTCAACTACCACCAACACGTTAGCGACTCCCAAGTATTTCTCTTTAGTATCAAAATAGCTTCAGATTCAGATCCATATTTCCAAGTCTGCTAGACAACACTCGAGAACCTCGAATTGGAAAAGACTCTACTGTTTTAAACTACGTAGCCCCCACCCCAAACGCGCTCCTGGTCTCCGCTTTCTCGTGACAGTGGCATCTCAGTCTACTCAGCTGTCCGAGCTAGGACTCATGGACATCCTCGATTTGTCACATTCTCTCACAGCCCCCACCCCCACAACCTATCCTATACTTTGTCAGCGAGCACGGTTTACCATCCCACCTCTGAGACACTTCCCATATCCATTCAGTCTCTATTTCACTGACCTAATTCAGGTCTTCATTACTTTGACCAGAGTTATTCATCACTATGCTGTACTACTCTAAAATCATTAATTACCTTAAAATAGTTATTTTACTTGCATGTGTGATGCTCCAACCGGACCACAGGTTCCTCAAGAGCAGAGATCAGATCGCACCCATTTCTGTATCCCTGGATTTCCGTACGCACATCATCATTTGCCAAATGAGTGTTCAATTAACGTTTGTTGACTGAAATGAAAACACTAAATCCAAGATCCTTCCAAGTTTCTCAGAAAAGATCATAGTTCATTTTACATCGTCAGTGGATAAGTGGCGGCATGGCCTTTCTCGATCATCAACGGAATTTACTAAGCTAACCATTATTATGATAGAGTCTGACCTACGAGGGACTGAGAGCCAACACATGGTACTAAAAATCCGGACATACTTGTTACTAGATTGTAACAAACACCATTCTCAAAGAACAGCCAATTCAGAATGAGAGTTATTTTCTTTAAGACACCCTTAACTAAAAGCTAGAAGTGACTTTATGGCTAGAAAAACATGTTTTTTAGAGTATGAACATCATAAGATGCACACCATCTGGGGAATGAGACATTCCAGCCATTTTTATAGCTTGTTTAGAAAAAAAGAAAGGTGTTCTGAACTTTATCAGAACTTCCTGTGCATTTTCTTCCTCCCTGACTTCCTACCCTTGTTCTCAAGGCATTGACACTGTGCTAATGGACATCAAGGGAATGCAACCGAAATCACAGCCTTTTTCTTTAAACACTAGGTGCTCTGTCTCAGTGACCAATGCCAACTGAGCTCAGATGCTGATTAAATCGAAGATGAGTTCTAGTTTTCTTTTTTCGGCTCCTGGAATAAAACTTAAAGTGAGAACTTCATAATTCTTTAAAACTATATAGTCAGAAAACGGTAGTTTCCTGACTCCTTGAGCCTATCGATTAACTTGTGCATTTCCAAATGGTTCAACACCCCATTAATATTCTCTCACCTTCTCCTCTCCCCCGCTTCCTCACTCCCCCACTCCCCTCTCGCCCCTTCCCCCTTCCTCAGCCCTGTACCCCTTCCGGCCCCCATTCCCCTTCCTCGCCTCTGTCCCCCTCCTCACACCTCTCACACACACAGACTTCCTTCCTCCCTTTCACAGAGGCTGCCATCCCACTGTCCGCAGCTCCGCGTCCATTGTCCGCTGTCTCGTCTACGTCCTTTGCTTCTTTATTGGCCATTATTTTCCTCTTGCTTCTCTATACTTTCCTTTCAGATTTTATCCCTAACTATACTTCCCAGCATCTAAGAGGAACAGCATTTTATTAGTTTTGTTATTACGATTATTGTTATTGACATCACCAATCAATACGAATATTGTTTCTTTGGTGACTGATGTAAAAAAAAAAAAAAAATTCCACGACAGTAACGAGCAGCTGCTGTTCCACTCATCTCAGGTCTCCTCCTTATTACGAGCTGCACAGAGAGAACTTCCGGATGCCCCAAGGCTATGTGTGGACTTGGGGATAAGGGGAGAAACAACTAACGTTCGCTATGCTTAAGGCGACGTCCAATTCTCGCCTCCAGGAAGTGAAGCCGGGACGTGGAGCCACGCCGGCTTGGTGTGCGCGTGCTACCGGCGCCTAGAAATTTGTGCCTTGAGCCAGACTGTGGAAGAGAAACTCAACACTTTCAAATATGTAGTTATAAGATACCACATACTGTCACTGGCCCTTCAGAAAACAAGACCATTAGCTACACAATGAGGAAGTTATGCCAGGTGTATTCTAGAAGAAAACCATGCTCCGTGTACCATAAACCACTATGACAAAGCGAGAGTTCCAGCAGTCGAAACGATAGCTCTTTAGCAATTTCCATACTTTTTACATAAAATGCTTGCCTTTCACTTAAGTTATAGGCAGATAAATGTTAACTTAGTATTATATTAGATATTTGCTTTTGTTCTTTTATTTTGAAATGAGTTATACTGGATATTCATTCACTTCTTAAAATTTTGTATCTTCAAGTCATTTCAGACTTGTAGGAAAGTTGCAGCACAGGGCTGGGCAAAGAACTTCTATTTTGCCTCCGCCCAGATTTCACGGTGGTTAACATCTTAGCACATTTGTTCCCTTTCTCCTTCAGACCCCCCGCCACACACGCACATGAACACACACACATACGCACATGAACACACACACACACACACACACACAAAAAACCACTGCTCTTCTTCCAAACCACTTGAGCATAAGCTGCAGATATGATGCTCGATCACTCCTGAACTTTCCAGTTCATATTTCCTGAAAACAAGAACTCCGGCCAACATGATTGCCCCACAGGCTCCCAGATCACGCGAACGATGCAGCGGCACACTACTGCCCATCCACAGGCCCCATGCGGGCTTAACCAGCTGTCCCGACAATGCCACTTTTCCCATCTGGCCCAGGATCCAATGCAGGAACACACTGCATTTAGCTGGTTCTCGCTAGTATCTTTCAGTCTGAAACAGTGACTCGGTTTTTCTGTTTTCCTGGCCTGAGCAGTCCCGCAGAATACAGGCCTTTCACTCTGCAAGACGGCCCTCAACTCAGGTCTATGCGATATCTCATCACGGCCAACAAGTACCACGAGTTCTTAGCCAGAATACTCAAGAAGTGACGCTGAGCTCTTCTTATACGACACCCGGGAGGCACATGAGGTTGATTTGTCCCACCTGGTCCAGCTGGTAGTTACTATGAATATATAATTTCCCTGTTTTATAGCCAATTGAGTATTTGGCAGGGGTGCAGGGACATTCATAGATTATGCTGGCATCTTGCCCCTCAGAACCACCACTAGCTTTAACATCGTCTGATGATTCCGCCTAAATCAACCACCGCTCTGATGGCTGCAAATGGTGCTTTTTTTCTATTTATATAATCCCTCTGCTTTTATTAGTAGGCATTCCACTAGGAAAAGCTTTCCCTTCTCCTCCATGTATCTATTTGTTTATATCAGTATGAACTCATGAATTCCTATTTAATGCAAAAGGTTGTCATTGATTACTACCATTATTTATTATGATGCTAAAAATTGCAGATTTTGGCCAGGGGGAGCTACCCCAGCTGACTTTTCTGTCACTTTGACGATGTTAACATCGCTTGTTGAACATTTCCTTACTTTTGGTGCACTGCGGTGGCCCAGGCTCATTGTGTATATTTCCCGTCCTGAGCCTCGCATCAGCCCTACCTCCAAGGAGGCCCAATTCCTCTCAGGGAGGTGCAGTTCTCAGAACCCAGAGTCTCAGCCCCTGTCTGATCACTGCCATTGGAGTGTCATCGCCTTTAAACCCTCTCAGGGGCTGGAGCTAGGAAATATGTGTATGCATACACACATATATACACTATTTATACGTATTACTCTATCTGTTTATATAGAGAGAAAAAAGTGAGTTCGTGCTGATTTCTCCAATTAACAACTTCAGGGTTCTTTCTTTCATCCCCCTTTGTATGTCTACAAATTCCTTCTCCAACAGTGAGAAATGTAGTTCTTATTATCCCCAATATATTCACTCATTTGCTCAATGGAGCCAATCTCCCAAACGCAGCAGCCACCTGTGCGCTCGCTGCCTCAGTCAGCAGCGTGCCGATGCCTCCATGCCTGGGAAAGCAAGGGAAGGCAAGGGAAAGGAAGAAAAATGGAGAGAGAAAAGTAGGAGAGAAGGCAGGGGGGGCTGGGAAGAGAGAAGGAAAGAGAAAGGAAGGGGAGGGAAGGAAAAGTAGAGGAAGGGAAGGAAGTAAAGCAGGCACTTACTTTTAAAATACCTTCCACAGCCATCTTCCCCTCGTGGCCTAGTAAAATAGTGTACGGGTACAGCCAGTGGATGGCATGTTTGATCGACATCATAGGGAAGGAATCCTGTTTAGGAGCAAAAAACACGTGGGAAGGAGGAACGTCTAAAATAAATCACAGAAAATTTATCGGAAATGTACATATGACATTGAAATTGCTTTATCAACAATATTTCCCAGAAGTCCACATAAGCGAACGTGATTTCCTCTTCCCTTCCTGTTTCTCTGCCCTTGCTGAGCTCAGCCACTCCCACCTTTCAGCTGCCGCCTGTGTGTTGAAGGCCTCCGTGTTTCTGTTTCTAGTCCTGACATCTTTCCTGAGCTCTGGACTTGAACTCTCAGTTGCACATGAGACGTGACCACACAGACATCTCACAGACCCCCATTCGGCTTGTCTGAAACTCCTCTCCTTACCCTACCTGTCCTAAAGTACCTCCTCCTTCATCCGTATTCCTAATCTGAGTTAATCTCACCCACGTTTACTGAGCTTCGAAGTTATAACCACAAAGTTAGAAAGTGTTAAATTATCTTCAAACCCTACCTCCTCAACCCAAATCAAACTGCTTTCCAATTCCGGTTACTCTACTTTGAAAAGTCTATTAACAGGGACAATTAGGGAAATGTCCATGTAGACCGTCTATTAGATGACACAGAATTACTGCTACTGCGCTGAGGGGTATGATAACGGTATCTGGTTATGCAGGAGAACGTCCTCATTCTGAGAAGCTTCTGAAGTATTTAAGAATATTAACCACAAAGTCCTTTCAGGTGCTTCAAGAAAAAAAGAGAGAGCAAGCAAATGGGGCAATATGTTAACAGCTGGTGATTCTAGTTGAAGGAATTATAGTTGTCCATTTTATTTTTTTGAACTGTTTTTTAGATTTGAGAATTGTTAAAGTAAAAAGTTCTGAGCAAAAACAAAAAACGAAAAGTAAAAGATGTGATAAACAGAAGAAAAGCTGCTCTAGATGCAGAGAATTGTATAAGTAATACCTGGGAAACTGAACTCTGACTCTCAGGAAATAGAAAATAAATAGCACTGAAGTTTAGAAACACGTCTCACCTAGGTGGCACACCCACTACCCCGTGGCACAGCCACTACCTCCCGGCGCGCTCCTGAGCGGTCTCTCGCTGACTATTATGTCTCCTCTGTGCTCCCTGTGCATCCAGGCGGCCCCATCCCTCCTTGTCGCCAACGGAGGTATCATCCTCCACACACGATTGCTGCACACCTTACCTACTAACGTCCGCTGGGCCAACATTAAGTCGGCCATGAGACTTCACTCGCCATGCGACACTTCACACGGAGGTCCTTGCCTCTCCAGCCACACGCTTGCTCTACTGATACAGCTTATTCCCGTTCTCCAAACACACCAGGCCCTTCTGCGATTTGACGCCTTCCTGCCTGCTGTCCCCCCTCCCTGGAGGGCGTTCCCACCACTGCAGACACTGTTGTGACTTCTGTGGAACTGCAGTGGACGATGTCGGTGCTCCACCACACCCCCTCGGACCTAGTGTCACCTTTTCTGGGCCACCCGGCTCTCCTTTCCAACAGCTGGTGGCCGCAGGTGTCCTTCGGTCCTGTGAAGACTACCCTGGAGCTCCCAGGGCCAGCTCTGCTCACAGGCCGGGGAAACACCTGGTGTCTGGGAGTCTGTGTCCATTGGGACAACCATTAGCAAGGGACAGATGGTGCTGAAGTGTGAGCACCCAGCTCTCCTGCCTCAGGTCGGGGAGTCTGTGGCCTACCTGACACTACAGCTCACCTCTGGAGTTCAGGATGACACTCCCCCTCCATGCAGCTTCTACCTAGGCTGCCTCTCTGCCTCCCCCTCCACTCCTCCCCTCCACCAAGTGCTCAGAACACGCCCTGGGTCTCTGTAGAGATTGCTGCACTGCACAAGGTAATCTCAGGTCTTATGATATTTATAGAAGAATATGGCAAGGCACAATCAAGTGATTCATCTCCAAGGACAAACTTTTATGTTTTATTGGCCACATCTGGGTATACCAGTCATTCATTTATTTTATACATACCAGGATTTGAACTGCGGCTGATAAACTATCTAAAGGAAAATTTGGAAGTCCAAGCATGGAAGATTCTTGGGAACAGAGAGTGGTGGCAAAGGACAAGAGCTGAGAAACTCTAGGGGGAAAAGTAAACAATGTTAAATTTTACTCTAATAGTTTTAATATGTAAAATGTACAAACCTGTTAAATAGCTGGGCCAATTTAATTAATCTAAAAAGATAACATCTACTATTAAATTCTTAAGGAACAGCTCCACATTACAATATTCCATCTAAAACTCCGAAGTTGATTAGATACACAGATATATTTCTCAAATCCTTCACAATATGTGACGGTTTTCACAAGCTGGCCCAAATCTACCTGGCCAGTCTCACTGCTTACCTTTCTCAATCTACACCTAAACTCTAGCCACCAAGAGCTTTTCATAGCCTCAAGAATGAGGCATATACTCTCATAAACCATGCTTTAAAAAAAAAAAAATCTTAGATTTCCTTAATTTCATTCTCTATCTGGCAAAAGCCTACTCATTCTTTAGGGCCCATCTCAACTGCCAATGCCTTTCTGAAGGCCTTATAGTCTCAACCATAATTGCTCCCAATTCTTTGAAATCATGGCCCTTATGTTAAACTAAAATATTCAAACATCTTTAAACTCTACTAGATTTGGAGTTTCTTGCCATCAAAGATCATGTCTTTACCACCATTTTAGCTTTGTCGTCGTCTTTATCATCAGCACTTACCTTAACTCCTGAAAAATTCTTCAAAGAACAGTTGTTGAATCAATCAATCAATCAATGAACAGGCAAAATAAATTCAATGTTAAATGCCCAGATATAAAAATATAGAGATATATTTTAAATATATTTATTTTATGTACATATTTATTAAACTATGTATAAATATTTATATTAAAAATGTAAATGTACAGCTGTAATACTTACTTCTCAGTGGAAACATTGGCTCCAACTGAATACAACAGTTCGAGTTGGTCCTATGATAACACAGAAACATCAGATCATTTAATAAGGAATGTAACAGATTAAATGCAGATGTTTTATTGACAAATTCAACATTTTAATTAAGCACACATTGAGTAATTAATAACAAAAAATAATTTCTTGATACATGTCATTTTCTAAAAAAAGAGTAGACTTTTAAAATTTTATCAGACAAATAATACCACGGTAATTTTTCTTCCTCACTGCCAGAGATTTTCTTCACCCTTTATCCTTTTTCCTTCCCATTAACTACTAGGGTACATCTATAAAAATAGTAACATTTTTATAGAAATTGAATTTATTATAGATGGAAAAACTTTAAAAATAAATTATCTTCATTCATACTTACCTTGAAGGGTAGATAATAAATATCTCTGGCCTGAAATCGAGAACGGAGAGGGGGATCTAATGGGTTCCCAGAGTACCTGGGCACTGGCAAGCCCAAGGCAATCACTCGGAAATTTTCACTCACTCGAACGATGTTCCAAGCATCCATCTCTGTTTTGGTGTGATCCTGAGAGAGTATGACACCAAAAGTTACAGCGTGTGTGAGACAGATTCCAACCGCGAGAGCTGCCGGGCCAAGAAGTTTGGGCCCTGGTTGCAGAGTAAACTGTATTGAGAACACTCTCAAAGCCAAACTGCCAAAGAAGGGGACCAAGTGAAATTGGGGTCAGGACGCCAGGGAAGGCTCACTATCTGAAGACTGGAAGCAGCTGATGTTTCGAGGCACAAAGGAGATCTCCAAGTCCTACTCAGTGACACAGAGGAACAACGTCCGGAGGGCAAGGAAGACCCACTGGCTCGGACCAGATGATGGAAAAGGTGGTCCCAGATGGCGGACCACCCATGGAGCAGAGCCTGCCCTCGGACCATACATAGACAGCTATGCTTACGGGTATATTTCAATAACTAACGTGTATTGAAAATCTACTATGTGGTAAGTACTTTCCATGTATTTTTCCCATGTCACTTCTACCAGGATCCAAATAGAAATTTAATTCCTTTTATGAATGAACAAACCAAGGTTCAAAGGAGGTATATACAACTAACACGTGGTAGAGTTGAGAGACAGGAAGCAGTATGGGCTTTGGAGCTATAAACCCTGGCCCTGGTGCTTGACACGAACTCTAGCTAAGAGACCAAGAGCACATAAGGACACCCTCTGAACCTCGGCTTTCTCACCTGTAAGGTGAGACCAACATCGCCAACATCACTGGGTTGTTATGCAAACTACATGTGCTAATATGCGTGAAAGCACAGGACAGAAGCAGGCGCCGGTAAATGCCATTCTTTCCATCTCTGCCTGGCCTTATCAATGGCTCTTCGCTGTCCTCTGTAGGACCCGTGGAGCTTACGAAGTTTATGCACGTGCACCTTCGAAGGGACAGGTCCTCAGCGTTCGGCAGATCTCCCAAGGATGTGGCCAAGGGACCGTGTAGAAACTCGTAACAAGGCATTCAAGGCTTTTCCCGGCCAGATTCACGTCTGATCCTCCCCGGCTCAGCAAGCACTGCGTACCTACCCCCTCGGCCCGCCTTTCTGGGCCCTGTGCTCCAGCCCACCTCACGACTGTGGCTCCCCAGCCACACCGTGCGACTCCGCCAACGCTGCTCCCCTTGTTGGAACACCCTTCCCACTGTGCGCCGCGTAAGCACAGGCATTATTCAAAGCTCAGCGCAATCCTGTCATTAAAACGGGCCCCTTTCTCATTCTCACCTTCCACTGGAAGCACTTTTGTACCCCTCCACTCTGTCCTATGCAAGATTCTATCACTGTGCACTCACGCACTGACTACCTCTAGCGCGTAATAGGAGAAATGTCAGTTGACTGACGGCAGGAAATAATGTAAAAACATGATGAACAATTATTTCTAGCATAACCAAAACCATGATCCTACATTTAATTAATAGGACTAACACTGACACTATATCATATGCAGCAGAAAATAAGAATTTGTGTCTAACCCTGCCTAAGAAATCAAGAGGACAATTTTCAGAGCTGAATACTTCTTTCTACTTATCTGAAAATGATAACCAGAACATAAATAAAATTTATATAAATCAATTATATCTGTTTCCATAATAACACAATTCTACTATAATCACCTCTATGGAAGCATTAACATTTTCAGATATACAAATTTAGTATATTGAATCTAGCTAGAAATAAATGAGACTTCAATTACAGTGTTGAAATCTTTTATAGAAATTGTGTTAAGGTGGTGTTTTCTGAAGGGATCGTCCCTAGACTCTGTGAGGTTCTCATGAGACAGATTCTATGAATACAGAAATTAGGGTTACCAACAAAAATGATGTATTTATCCTGATATTTAGGTTGGGGGAAAATGTAGTACATCCTTCTCACTTAATAATAACCACTCCTTGCATACTCAAACCCTTTGACCTCGAAGCCCAAATTCCTATTCAAAGTAATGTGTTTTATAACTTTGTACAGAATTCTACTACATGAATAAAGACTATATCAGACTTCTTGTTATAAAGTAACTTCTATACTTAAAAAAATGATTCCATAATCTAAGTATTGTTTCCCAAATCATTTACTAAAAGTGGCAAATAACTATAGAGAGGCACATAATCGTTATTTTGTAATTCGAAATAATATAAATATAAATGATTATTCTTTAATTATTTATAAAATTAATAAAATTTAAACTAAGATTTAAAAAATAATAGAAATGGCTTTCATTTCAATAAATTAACCGTAACAATATGAATGAATTTAACTTTGCTTACTGATAAAATTCTCAGGTATCTCCTTCTAATTATATTAGTATGGTGCCATCTTTAGATAGATCCAAAAGAAAAAAAAAACTGTACTGCATAATAAACACCACCTAGATTCTCCCATAAACGGTAGAGAAACAGTGTTAAAAGGGTTGCAAGGCAGGTTTTCCAGAAAGCAGGCTCACGCCGCAGCAGGCATCTGAAAGATGCTTCTGGTCCTGCCAGTCATGGAGGATCATTTCAATCAGACCCTCTGGTGTCAATGTCTATTATTCAGTGCTTGGGTATCCTAGGCTTGTAAGAGCTCCCAGGGAGCAGGACCAAGAAGTTTAAGACACATCCTGCTCTTGAGCAATCTATCACCAGCCTGGAGCAGTAAAAGTAGCATACATGTATCTACGGAACAGGTGTGAGAGAGACTCTAAGTCCTAGAATGCAGAGGCAGAGCCGTCAGTCCCTGGTACAGCCGGAGCTGAATGAACAGGGCTGTCTTCTTGTCCTTTTGTGACATGGCACAAACCGCTTCCCAAAGGCCTTTGAAGAGGCCCGCAGTCTCTTGCTGTTGCCCTCTTTAGAGGCACCTGTATCACAGCATTTAAAGATTTTATTGCACCCATTCATTCATCCAACATATAGTTATCGGGCACCGACCAAGCACCGCACATTGCTCTAAGAGCTTGAGATGTCAACAGCAACACAAGTTCCCCCCCCAGTAAAAGTTATAATCTAGTAAAGGGAAGCAGACAATGAACTAAAAACATAATAAGTAAATCGTGTAGGATGTTAGAAGACTTTATGGAAAAAACAGAGTGGGGTAAGGAAGTATGGGGCAGAGGGCACATGACAGTTTAAAATTGGTGGACGAGGGCAACTTCATTGATGATATCATGTCTGAGCAAAGACATGAAGGAGATACAGAAGTGAGCCAGGCAGACAGCTGGGAGAAAAGCATTCCAGAAGAACGAAGTGCCTATGCAAAGCACCCAGCAGGTAGGAGAACACCTATCCAGCGTGTTTAAAGTAAAAATCTAGTAGCCAGAGTGGAGTAAGGAAGGAGAAGTACAGAAGGATACAGGCCCAAGAGGCAGTACAGGACCAGGTTATACACTGTAAAGACTCTGGATTTTATTCTGAGAAGAACAGGAAGTTATTAGAGGGTTAGAACAGAGGAATGACCTGATCTGTCATATGTTTTAAAGTAATCACTGACTGCTGCGGGGCAGGAAGGATGGACGTAGGGGGTCTAGCGAGGAGGCCCTTACAACAACTTAGGTGTCCGATGCTGGTAGCTTGGGCCATCAGTTATCTTTTAAATCTCTTACTCATTTCTGTCAATACCTGCTGGACTTCAAGCATCCCGAGGCCAAAAACTGAAATTTTTTCAGCTTTGTATTCCCATCGCTGTCTAGAAGCCGTTAGGCTTCAGTAAACAGTTGTTGAGAGATGAAAAAAAAAGGAAGACTGGAGAGTAGGAAGGGAGAAGGGAAGAAGAATTAAAAGGAGAAAAAAAGAGGAATGAAGGAAGGGAGAAAGGAAATGGGGGAGGAAGGAGGGAGGAGAGAGGGAAGGAAGGAAGGAAAGAAGGAAGGAAAGTTGTTAGATTGGCAAGAAAAAGTAAAATCCTTGGAGGTTTTCTAACATAGTCTGCAAATATTTGAACAGTCTTGTAAAACTGCAAACTCATGACATGACTTCGGCAATTTGCCACATATATGGGTCACCTAAACATGTGTCCTTATTCCGATATAATCGTGACTTACATAACGAATGGCACCACCCACAGCTCAGTAGCTAAGACAAAGCAGCCAATTTTCCTTTTCTTACTTGGAGAAGTTTGTCGTAACGCTGGGCAGACATTAGGAAGCGTCCATCTTCAAGCTGCATCTCCCTATTTTCCAGCAAGTTGTTCAAAACAGGCAGAACATTCCTCTCCGCCTTTTCCAAGCCTTCCAAAATGAGAGTTCTGCCTTCCGTGGCTGCACGCACCGCACACTGTTCCCAAGAAACGGAAGCAACGTAAGACATCGAAGACAGCAGAGCATGGCCTGATTTGACCCGCAGCGCAAATTACACGTGAGGTTCTTATCGCATGGGACCAGAAACCAGGAAAGCAAGGTCCCAGGTCTTGACTTTGCTTTCTCTGCCTATATGATCTCAGGCAAGTGATTTTCTCTCTTTAGGCCTGTTTTTCCATTTATAAAACGAAGAGCTGGAAGAAATGATCTCCAAGGTTCCTTTTGGCTGTACCATTTCAGATAATGCCCAGTGAAATAGAACGCTAGGCGCTATCTGTAAATCAGTAACATAATTAAACAAGGAAACAGATTCCTTGAAAATAGAAACGAAGATCACAGTCTGCCCTGTCTATCCCACGGGCTTCTCGAGAGAATCCAATACGCTAGGTGAGAACACATGGAGGCTGTCAGGTTTTAAACAGGAGTCGTCGTCCAAATGAATTGGGTTCATTGCAATGTTCAGTGAGACCAACACTACAAATGTACCAAAATGGAAAGATTCACACAGCCGCTTACAGACTGATGAGAGCCATAGTCCCATGAGTCTTCCAAGTATATTTTAAGAAAAGTAGTAATAAAGAAAAATAGGAAATAAAGTAGGCCTCAAATGGTAAGAGACAGGAAAACTATAATACAAAAAAGTATTAAAGATGTAAAAAAAAAAAATTTTTTTTCTTTAACTGATAGAGCCTAAACAAAACAGAAAACTTCTTCTCGGTCAAAATCCTTGAAAATGGTCAAAATCCTTGAAACCTTCAATGGTATTTCTCCTGCACATGCAACAGGAGGAGGATACATGCTGCTAAGTTTCCACGACCACGCTCCCCTTAAACCTCTCCTTCTTCGGCCTCCATGTACTGCATTCTTTTAGAAAAACTTTCTCCTTCTCTGCCTGCTCAATTCCATGCCGATGACGCCAGAATTACATCTTCAGCCCACAGTTCTCCTTAGGCTACGAGGTCAGCCTGGGTAATCCTACCAGTCACGAGTTCCAGCTACCATCTCTCTGCTGGTGACTCCCCAGTCTGAAGCTCTCTCAAGCTTGACTGCACGATCCCTCACTGGGTGTCTCCGACCAGACTCCATGAGCACCTCAGGCTCCCCTGGAACCCTGAACACATCTTACTGCCCCCCCAAACCTGCTCCTCCTCCTGTACTTTCTATTTAAGGTGGGACCACCATTCTTCCACGCGAGGATCCTTGATTCCTATCTTACCTTCAACATTCAATTTATCACCTTGTCCTGATGATTTAACTTCCTCAACATTTCTTGAACTCATTCTTTGTACTATCCACCTAGTTCAAACCTTCCTTAGCTCTCAGATCTCCAACCTACTAAGTCTAAGCTCCTTAATTTGGCATATTTATCTATCACAATATGGCATCTATCTACTGATCCAACACCACTGTCTGACATCAGTTACTTCACATTATATTTTTGCTACAATTAACTGGTTGTGATCTCCCTACATACACACACACACACACACACACACACACACACACACACACACACACACTCTCTCTCTCTCTCTCTCTCTCTCTCTCACAGATGTACCATACTGCTTTACTGGAAAAATCTGCCTTTATTTATACTGATCCCTTTGCTTGAAATTTAATTTTCCCTATAGTAATTAGCTACAAAATGACCTGAATGTCTAAAGGGAGAAAAAAGACAATCGCTATTTTTTAAAGACTTAATATTTTTCAAATAGTAAAGCATTTATCTTCCAAGCATAGAAAACAGACATTACTTAATCAAGCCTCCTTTTAATAAACTGTAAATATTATACTATACTGTAGAATTTAGATGTCCCTATACTATCATAAAAAATAACTTATGAAAACTACATTAGACTCAAGATGATCACCCTATTTTAAAAATAAAATAAATTCATATATAATCCTTCAAATTTATTATCATATATATTTTAATTCTTTTCTACCAACCTGGCCATCTTGTAGTAGTAGCTTTACTTTTTTTTTTTTTTTAAAGTGTGGATGTGATTTAGTTGTTTCTAAAGAACAGAAAAAAATTTCTCATTTTTGCTAGGTGTATAAAGGACAAAGCCATAAAAATAGTTTGAGACTATTTGAAATCAAAACACAAACTACTTCTTCTGAAAATTCCATGTTTTAGCCAAGGTTTCAATTAAGCTTTCTTTCACAAGAATCTATTTACTCCAAGACAGCATAGCTCATAACTTAAAAAAACTAAGTTACCACAACCTGAAGCTCCTCCCATTTGCTCTATTACGATCTAGATTGATCTGTGATAATCTCGAGGAGAAGCCACTGCAAATTTGCATCATTCATGAGAGTTTTGCCTTCATCCTTCGTAATAGCCATTGCCAAGCCAAGCTTCCAAGGTCTCCTTCAGCCCCTTCCCATGGCCTTGCCCAGTACTTTGCTACGATGATTAAAGGCTCCTGAACCGAGACTCTATGACTCACCCCGACTCCATCACAGTCCCACTGGGTCTTCATCTTTCTGCTCTCCTGATGTCCGCCTTGGACAAGGTGTCGCTCAGCCTACCTCCAAGGCTAGCCCTTTCTACTTAGAGCTAGTGGCATCTCCTCCCACCTCCTCCGAATTCTTCTTCCAGCAACTATGCCATCTCTTATTTGCATCTTCAAATTCCTTCCCTTCTACAAAAATGTCTGTAACTTTAAGAAAACCTACAGCCTCCTGATAACTCTTCATATCGTCTCTTTATCCTTTCCTTTATCCCCTTGAAAATGCGCTGCCTCTAATAAGCTCCCATCACCCTTATTTTACTGAAACTGCTCACTTCGAAGCACCAATAACCAAATCAGGCTTTTTCTTGATCTTCATGTTCTCCTTTCCTTCAACCCTCTTCCTTTGATCCTCTCTTGTGCTTCATCTTCTGTCTTGGACATTAGCTAAATTCGTTCTCCCCTTCCTTTCCCTTCACCTCCTGTCCTCTACGAAGCAAGCATTTCACAGGGTTCTACCCTTAACCATTTCACCCCCCCTTTTCTTATCAGTTATTTCACTGGCGAAGATCTAAGCTACCCCCACAGACCCTCATTTGCTTATTAAGCACCCACTGCATGGCAGGCACCACATCATGGACTACATACGGCGCTCTAATTTTCTTTATTTTATTATGCTTGAAGAACGTGCCCTGTGATCCTAGCCTGTCTCCTGAGCTCCATAGGCATACTTCCAAATTCCTTTTTAACATCTCTGTATGGATGTTCAAACTCAACGTGCTGAATCAAATCAAGCTCACGACTTCTTCCCTAAACTGATGTCCATTTCGATTGAAGTGTAATTTATTCTCCCATCCCCGAGGATTTATTACTTCCGATTCCTCGAACAGTGTAAGTGTAACCTCTAAATACCTTATGCATCCATCACCTCTTTCCACTCTCACTGCCAGCATCCCAATGGAAGCCTTCATTTACTTCCCGCTTTTTTACTGGAAGAGCTAACGGGAGCGGGCACCATATCTCTATCTTCAGTTATCCTTCAGGCAATGGCATTCTAGCTGCTGGAAGTTATAATGACTAAATCGTGACATCTTTAAAGTCTATTTCAACAGTAAGACCCATAATTATATCATTTATCTCAACTTTATTTAAGAATATTTTTTAAATCCTCCCAAACTTTGTTCTTATTAATTTAATGTTAAATTATTTGTGGTACAAACAATTTTAAGTGGTGATGAGAATAGATACTTTATAGTGCAATTGGATACAAAGACAAGAATATAAAAAGGACATTATAAATGTATAATGAGTATAATTTTTTTAGGTAAATAAAATGAAAATAAAATTGACATGCAAAGGATCATCCAAGATTTTTAAGATTTCTCTCAAATCTCAAATTGCTTATATGGTTTTAGACCCAGAGTGTATGCAAATTAAAAATGTTATATGTAGGCAACAATACTGGCTAAAGGAGGAAACCTTAAGAAAATGCTCTTTGGTAACAAAATGTGAATCACTGAATTTATAGAAAAAAATACTAGTTACTATTTCGGTATCGTCTTGCTTCCTGATTCTTCCTTAAAACAGACTATAAAATGATTAAAATACTTTCGCCAGTATTGCCAAACTTTATTAATGCAATCTGATAACATCCGTAAAGAAGAATATTAAAAACGGCTGACTAGCAAATCCACTCAGCACTATAACCTATCAACAATGTACTGCACTATACTGTGATCTCAGACTTAACTGGAGATGGTCGAGAGAAAAAAGTGCTATGAGTTTGTGCCCAACCGAGACTCAAACATCCTCCTTCCTTGCACCGACGCCCCTGCCCCCTGTTTGCTCGGCACCTGCCCCCTGTTTGCTCGGCACCTGCGTGTGGAAACACAACACTGATGTTTTCCTAGTTTTCCCATAGATGTCTTCAGCTGGTGAGAATCCTGTCCTTTACGCAGACTGGTACAACACTGGCTCACCGCGGGCTTTCCATGTTTATGGAATAAAAATGTAACCACTTAGTTAAAAGATGCTGTTGTGTAAGTTTAGGAAGAAGTTTGATAGGAAGGATGTGAGTTCTCTATGCCCACACTTCTATGAGAACAGAAGAGAACAAGTTGAACTGTCAGCATGGAAGGTTTAGGCTACATGTTTCAAAAATTTTCTACACAGATTTTTAAATGAAATAATCATGGTATAATTTTTTTAGTGTAAACATAGAAAAAGAAAGGAGCAGTGCACACACATATTTTGTGTGGAATGAATACCAGTCATCACTTCTCAAAGCAGATCAACCAGAAAGACCCTTTCCTGCCTTCAAGCTATGGAGCTGCCAGAGACCTAATTTTCTCCAGCACGATCCTTCTGGACAAACCATCTCGTGTCGCAGCTTTAACGGCCCAACATGTGGACACAAAGGATTTCAAGTGAAAAGCAGCTGCATGACCTAAAATCAAAAGCTAAGTCCCTGTTCCAGATTTGCTTCTGATCTGATACAAGACCTAAGGCAAACGATTAATCT